ACTATATCACCCATAGTGTCGAGATGTTTAACTTCATGATTAGCAAAGAACTATAGTCTATACAGATGTTGAAGCGTTTGGGGCAACTTTAGATGTCTGGGATCTATAGTAAATAAAAAAGAATCACTGGGAAAAGAAATCAACATCAGGAAAGGTAAGGCAGTACAAAGAGCAGATTTACAAAAAGAGCTAGAGGAACGAAAAGCTCACTATTAAAACAAACACTCTTGTCAGTCTGGTTTATGTTCTCAGTACGCCTCTTTCAGTACTAAAAATTGGTCACCTTACTGACACCAGATGAAAGGGCTAAATATCTTTTCCATGCGAAGCCTAAGAAGATTACTTGACATTAAGTAGCATGTCAAGATTACATATACTGAGGTACTGGAAAGAGCTGGCGTCTTGCTTGGTATAATCCATAAGGACATCCTCTACTGTGAATTTCATACGGGTAGAAGATGAAAATGAATGTAGAAATACAAATACATCTCCGTTTCGATGTGCAGGTACCGTCGGGTAATCATTATGAGGTGGAAATAAACAGACTGACTGACTGAATCTCTACCCCACCAAGACATCACACAAGCGATAAACACCCGATGACACAAAGTGCCACCATGCGGATGAGGATCACCGTGGAGAGGTCCCAGAAACCGCGTTCAGACATTTGGCCATAATGATGACCTGCCTATATTGCGGCCCCTGGCAAAAGCCAGAGTGGGGCTTCAAATAACAAAAAATAACGTCCTAAAAAAGACGTCTGTATAACAAATAAACACGCAAGTGAGGGGTGACAACTCGAGAAAATAGACAACGGTTAAGCCGTTGAAAATTAGAATGAATGACACACAACAGCACAGGATAAGTCGTGGGACCAGCCGAGACAAGAGTGGGAGTGGAAGGAACTCTCGTTATGCTGGTGGGTTCGTGATAATTACCTGTTATTATTATTTTTTCAACAACAGGGGCCCATTGAGTCCTGATTATTTAAAATGTGTAAGATAGCTGAGTTCACTCCCTCCCCCAAACCCCAACCAGGTAAAGAAGTTCTCTTGTTCAATTGTTCATTTATAATTTCATATTTTTTCACCTATTATATACAATGGCAATTCACCATCAGCATCATATTATTGCTATATTATTAAACACTCACACAACTCAAGACACTTTATCCTGTCATCCCTTTGTGGGATGCAATTGTTCGTTATACGAAGCCCTACCCTGGCTCTTGTCAGGGGCCGCAATTTTGCCCGACCATTATTATGGTCTTATGGCTGAACGCGGTTTCTGTGACCTCTTCATGGGTGATCCTCATCCACATGGTGGCACTTTGTGTCATTGGGTGTTTATCGCCTGTGTGATGTCCTGGTCGGGTAAAAAAGGACAGAAGATATTTTAGCCTAGATTACAAAATGTATTTGATGGCTCAGCCCTCCACCCCTCCCCCCCCCCCCCACCTACCCTTTCTTAAGATTTCTTTGTGTCGGAGCCACTGATCTTATCTATATACTCCATTAAAACTGTCCTCTATCTTCTAGTCGGAGTCTGTAGCTTAGGCGTTACGAACGCGCTTCGTTATGCCTGAGTGCCGGGTTCGATCCCACCTGCAGACGGTTTCAATTGCGTTGTTTCTATAGTGGTACCGAGACCTGACCGTTATGGGCAATGGCAAACTACTGAACGTTAAATTTGTATTAAAAAACAACAGCCAAAAAAACGTTGATGTTGGTTCTGCAACGTCCCGTAAAGGATACGCAACTAACTTTTTATACTATGTTTTACTCGTACATTCAAAACAAACATAATATTCTGAACGACAAATGGGTGCTCTATTTAAGTCACATTATGTCTAACCATAACATCACGTTCAATAATTGCGGATAGCCAGTGCACATATCTCGGTTACTTCCGTTTATGTGAAACCTAAAGAGATCAAACAGTCAGGGCGGTTGCACCGTGAACTGAAAGTCTGGTTGGTGATAACACAACTTGACGGCGTCACCATGTAAACAGCTGCCCCGAGGTTTAGACCAGCTCACTGAGTGACATGTTTGTCTCAATTTACAGTTGAAACCTGTAACAGTTTGATAAACAGGAGCTTGTGTAGTGTCAAGAATCTCTATCTACATAAAGATGTGTTTGGTTAATTAAGTTTCCGCATTAGCAAAATGTGTTTGGTTCTAGAATGTTTCTGAAATCCGTTTCGTGTGAGGAAAGAAAGTAATATTGAGTTTAACCACATTGGATTAATCTTGATATTATAGGTTTAACATATATTTCTTCATGCGATGATTTTGAAATCCGTGAACCAATATTTAAAATCAGATTAGTTTTTAAATTAATTGTGGAATTTTGTACCAAAAACATTTGCTGCTATAAAAAATACTTCTTAACCCCTGAGAAGTAAAGAAAGTGACATTTCACTTTATAAATGCTGGATATATTTTAAAATTAACGGCAAAGGATGTGTTTATCCTACTGTCGTTGTCAAATCTAGCACGTCGGGGTCGATATTAACTCATTTTTACGATAACAGTTTTGGGATAGTTATGAAATTATTGGTAGCAATACTTAAAGTCATGTAATGATTCTGAAATTTGAATCTTGTGAGGCCATGTTTAAGTAATATTTTAGTGTAAAAATATAAATTAATTAAAAAAAAGGAACATTTTTGAATTAAACATGTATATCTGTGTGTGCGTGCCCGTTCTATGTAATATTATTTATTTTAAATACATATGATAGTTTTCAAGAGTTAGATTGTGTCGTGAAATATTTCGTAACTTCAGTTGATGCATTAGTCCACATCTCTTATAAGGGGTTAGTTTAAAATCTAGTTTGCTTGTAGACTGAATTACTATATTGCGACATATTGTGTGCTAGAAAGTGTGTTACCAGTGTAACAAGTTTGGGAAACTAAGTCAAGTGCATAACATGGCGATGCAAATATTATTTATGTCATCACCATTTGCCTTTGTGTTGACTGAGAAGCTTATAGACATGTTTTCTGTTAGCTTTCTTTGAATAGTTTGCTATCAACACAGATCGCCATCTCATGCGTTGACAATTTCTCGGTTCATTTGGTTTGCTTTGTAAGGTTGCTGGGTTTGCCTACAGCTTTAGTAAACTTCTTTGCGCTGTAAATTTATGTTAATATTTTATTTAGATATACAGAATGTTAATGCAAGTTAGTAGAAAACCTGCCCCACTACACATACAGCTGAATGGTTCTGTTCTGAATCAAGTTAGATAGTTTAAATATCTAGGAAGTCTGATCACAGAAGATGGTAGAATTGACAGAGAAATAGAAACCAGATGTCAGAAAGCAAGTGCACTTATATACCAATTGTCACAATTATTAAGACATCCAAGCATAACTATGAGTGCAAAGAGACAGATTATTAATAACATATTCATTACTACATTAAGCTACCAGTGCCAAACATGGACACTATCTAAAGCCCATATACGCAAAATCACCACCTGCAAGATGAGATGCTTGAGAAAAGCAGCCAACATAACCTTCCGAGATCGAGTGAATAATGAAACTATCAAGCAAAATTGTTGGAACGACACCTTGTACTAGATTCATCGAGAAACAGCAGATCAAGTGGTTTGGCCATCTCGTTATAATGCAGCAAGATCAAATACCATCACAGCACTACATCTCAGAAGATCAGCTACAAGAGCAAGAGGACGGCCGCGGAAAATATGGATCGACAACATTAAAGACACCCTACGCCTTTACGGCTTGACAATAGCCAGTGGCAGCCAACGTGCACTGGACCGCAAATTGTTCCTCCCTACGTCGCTCAACGGCAGAAGTGTTGTATGATGATGATGATGATAAAGAATGTTTAGAGCTGCTTAAAACGCGCAATACTAGATCCACTTTAAAAAAATGGCATTTCCCGATAACTGACTGCAGTCAATGCTGTTGAAAATGTGTTGAATAAGTTGATCTCCATTTTTGTAAGACTGTCCCTGATACCGTCCTTACATCTGTTGTGTGGGCTTCACCTTCTCCGTTTTATTATATCTCTTCAGCTTTCCGTGGCACTTGGTAAAAGTTCTCTCGCGTCACTCTGGCTTATAAAGTAAAGCACGTAGAGGACCCTCTTCCACGCCTTTAGGCGTATAGGGCATATAGGGCTAGACCTATATTTTTATAGACCAATCGGCACAATATGGTTGATGTTGTAAGTATCACACCGACTGCCTTTTCTTCTTTGGACTGCACTCGCTACTCACTCAAACTCTGGCTTAGGGGCGAACCAACAAAGTGTGGCGACCGGCAGATTAAAAACCGCTGCTCTTTGCATTTGTTACTTGGTGGGCGGCAGACCCTCTAAGACCCCGTGGAACAAATTTATTTTGTCCATGAAATCATTTAGAAAATATTACCCTCAACTTCCTTGTTTAGCAATTTTTTTATTTTTTTTTTTATTTAAAAAAAATTATTATTGTCTTAAAAAAGACAGGGTTTCACAATAATCCTTTAAAAATTAAACATATTCAGTGGATCTTACCTTTTTGGAAATAACCTCTCTACAGCATTATACAGCGAAAATTATCATCATTAATCACCAGGTCCTTTACAGAACGTCGCTCTCGCTACGGCACACTTAAGAGTCTTTTTATCCAGCCAATTCGCCAGTCCGGTCTCGTACCCCTTTCGTCGAAGTCTGCCCCTGCCTCGTTTTGCGGATACTGTACTCTATTTTATGTTTTCTTCAGGAAACCATGACGTTTAACATGGCCAGAATACCTTAGATTCTGGGACAAGATGCTGTTTATGAGCCATATCTTCATGACTCTCAGACCATGTCGGATATCAGGGCTTTTCTTCCTCTTGGTACATGGCATTCTAGAAATTGTTTCTTGCATTTCAGTTCAAAGGCTCCGGTTTCTTTCTTCGATGATTATACATTGATACAAGAAAGTAACAAACGGCACAGCGCATGCCTTTGAGACATAATCAGTGAACTTAAAAGCAAAACATGAGCAATAAATGTTTACTAACTGCGTTTCGCATCATTATGACAATATTCTTTGTCAAGCAGCTATGGGCTTTATCAACAACACCATCACCAACCACATCAAACACAGTACCTGAATACCCTGGATATCACCTACCCGTGAATCTAACAGCAGTTGTCATTGAAACAGTCGATGAAAGAAACAGCTATTTTCTCAAATGGGTGCTGCCTGTGATGGATATTGCCATCGAAGACGTCAACAGACTTTATGCGGGAATCATGAACCTATCTCTGGCTTATGGGAATGGAAGTTGTGAGAAATCAGCGGTAGGAGTGGCTGCTGCTCGAATTAGCTGTTCTCACAACATCAGCGTCTTCATTGGACCAGGTAGGATTCCAGAATATTTTGTCGTTCACCTTTCCATTTTAAGTAAACTGTTTCTCAATGCTAGTGTCTCCAAAAGATATAGAACCGAACGAAAAGTATATGAGCGGGTTATACAATCTAATAAACACAAACAAAACGTGACTTTGCGTGAACGTTCTTCAGCACATGCATAGATTAGACAATACTACACAAATACACAATATTCCTTATCTTCGTATCTCGTGGCAGCCAGATGGATGTCAAAACAGTAGTCTAGCGAGGCACATGAGGGTATGCCAGGGGCCATCACCTGAGGATAAGGTGAAACTGTGTAGGCGGTTCAGCCTCCTAGGGTTTAGGTGAAGGGTTTAAAGTACCAGCTGCAGTCTGATTAAAAATTCGCCTATGTTTGTCGAACAGCTCCAGAGCCTCCCCCCCCCCTCCCCTCCTTATCTTTTACACATCTTGATAAATACGTCTTACAATATATACATTCTCTGTTCTATTACACCTAATCATCTTTATCATAAAGTAGCTCACCACCCAGAGAAGCGGAAACAGCCAAGCTGGCAGCCTCCTCAATTCGGCAACTGCCTGAATATCCCAGACGAAAAAAAAAAAAAATAACATCCATGAAACGCTCCTTATCAAGTAATGCAAGCCGCTCTTGGCCTATGGCGCAATTTGTTTATTTCCTGTTTATGGCTTAGAAGCTGTGAACCCAGTAACCTCGAAATACTCTAGACTGATTCATCTGCAGACGATTTGGCAAGAGACAGACTTGCGTTGATTTCGACTGTAGAGCGCCGACCGCTAAGGAAGAATGGCAGACCGGTCAGCAGGTACTGTACAAGAGGTTGCTTTCGTCACGGCAGGCCTATGTTCTTTTCGAAGACGAAGAAGATGACGCAGAAGCAGAAGCGAACAGTAAAGACACTCTATTTCATAGCCGAGATGTCATCAGCACAATCGTAAAATTTCCCATATTGCCGTTAAGCCTCCTGGGGAGGAACATTCTGAGATCCATATCTTGTTAGGTAGTACAGCCGCCTTAGCGTAGTCGTTAGGAGGCAGGCTTTTAAATGCAGCTGCGACTCGCTGCAGCCCATGGTCGGTGTTCGAAACCGGGCGGTTTCCAGGGTCCACCCAGCCTCTAGGAAATGGGTACCAGAGTTGACACTCTGGCGTAAATGGAAGAACGTCGCTGTAGCTACAGAGTTACGTGCGGATGGCTACACAGGCGGACAGTTTCTTATCAGCTATCCGTACTGGTGGCAGAGCACTTATGGTTTCTAACCGTGTGCAATGACGCTGGTTCACATCTCCCGACTTGACCTTTACTTTAGTGTCGATGTAGAAATTCTTTACTGTTATCAGTCGTTCTCCCAAGGCAATGTTTCTCAACCTAGCTGATGCTACAATCCTTTGAAACCTCTCCCTTTTGTTTTGGCGACGACAAAACAATTTTTTTCTCCTTTATAACTTTAAGGAATATGTGTTTTACCATGGTCTCCTGTGAAAGACTCGTTGGACCCAAAAATGGATCGCGACTGACAGGTTGAGAACCCCTGTCTTAACGCAAACTCTTACTTTCACATCAAAATGTGCACGTGTAGCGCATGTAATGGTAATGGTTCTTGCCTTATTCTAACCAGATGCCCAAACCATTATATCTTCTGATTCAGAACAATAATATTACCAAATGAAAGACACCGGTTTTCCAGTAGCTGCTTCAGGTCCACATTAGCAAATGAGCATTTTATGTTATAATTTTTTTGTTTCTATTTTAAATCTTAGCCACGTTTTCAGTTTGTTGTTTTATCATCTAACACAGTGATTCTCAACCTTTCTAATGCCCCAACACTCAATACAATTCCTCATGTTGTATTGAACCCCCAACCATAAAACTATTGTCCTTGTTAATTCATAACTTCTGTGAATTTCTGTTTTCCGATATTCTTAGGCGACCCACGTGAAAGGGTCGTTAGACCCACAAAAGGGTCGCGACCAATAGGTTGAGAAACTCTGGTCTAACCCGATGGTCTAATTCCATATCGCATTAGTCATGAAACCTGCACTTGACCCATTCATTAATTCTACTCATTCTAGGCGAACCTAAAACATCACGATGTGTGGACATTTATTTCGACCATAACTCACTGCTGAAAATATGAAAATGGTCCATTTTATTTAGAAATAATCGTCTGCGTATCAGTTCAAAAAGCATGTAATGTGATTATTTAAGCCAGTAGTTTGTTAAAGATATTGGCATAGATTTTGCAATCGCTCTCTCTGTCTCCCTCTCTGTTTGTCTCTCTCTATCTATATATGAATGTGTGAAGGTGTGTGCGCGCGCGCCTGTGTGTTGTATGTGTGTGCGTGTGTGTGTGTGTGTGTGTGTGTGTGTGTGTGTGTGTGTGTGTGTGTCTAACGAGAGCGACGGATAAAATGGGCAAATGCGTGTCTCTTGTGGGGATTTGATTTTAGCTTCAAGAAAAAATTAGGAAGAGGATGAGGAGGAAGTAGGAGGAGGAGGAGGAGGAGGAGGAGAAGAAGAAGAAGAAGAAGAAGAAGAAGAAGAAAAAAAGAAGAAGAAGAAGAAGAAGAAGAAGAAGAAGAAGAAGAAGAAGAAGAAGAAGAAAAAAAGAAGAAGAAGAAGAAGAAGCACAAATGGAAGACGAAAGAATAAATGGAAGAGAGAAAACGAGAGAAATTATTCGTGCAAGAAGGCATGCACAGCAACATTTGGTTTTTCGGGAAAGGAAGTAGTAAAAGAGTTGATCCTAAGACAACTCAAGGTTAAAAATATCTACATACATGTTAATGTCAATGCTAAGCTTCATCTTACGGATTTTATTTGAGTTGTGCCAGTTTTTGCAGTGCATGGGTTCCTGGCAGATCAAACATTATAACAAAATGAACGCTAGGCACTTTTCGGGAGTTAGTGCGAATTTTCTAACACTGTTAGAGAGAACCAGTATTCTGCTATCCACATAAAGCACTAGTAAGCAGACAATTCAAATCGTTTATTCAGTAGTCGTTAGCCATATTCATGAGTCGTTAGTCATTAGTCGTTAGTCGTGTGTCGTTAGTCATTAGTAGTCTTTAGTCGTTAGCGGGTAGTCTTAAGTCGTTAGTCAGGTTGCCAAATTCACCGATACGGGTCGCCCCTTACCTGCCCCAGTCCTGTGCCAGTGGAGATCATACAAAATCTTCTTCGTTGTCCTATTAACCTAGTGGAAAACATGTCAGCCCAAACAAAATGTATCTAGACTCTCGCACACGCAAAAGTAATGCATAAGGCGATGTCAGGTGGAGCCATCACTAATATGCTCACATCTTTACTGAAACTAACTGTTGATGCAAGCAGTCTGTTACTAAAATCGGAATTGTAAATACAATAATACTGCATGAATACACATCATTGTGAACATAATCGGCCACATGATATTTTAATGCAGTTCACAACACAAAGCCGTCTAGGCGCAACAAATGGAAAAATACTCACTTACGCCCCGCATGAAATCAAAAACTCATAGTGCCGCACCAAGCACTCAACTCAGCAGCCTGTCGATGGAGCTTTGAGCTTCCAGTCCAGGAATGGAGAATCGGCTCCGGCTAACCATGGCTAGAAACATATAATTTGTTTGAGCATTAGCGGTAAGACGACGATATGCAATACTGGACCAGAAGTCTAAAACTCACAAATCACATTTATGCTCATAATCATTGAACTACACATAATGATAACTAGTCGACATCTCTCATGAAGGACTGATAGCACCCATCCACATCATCTTGCGCGTGGCCTGAATGCTCGGATTCCCAGGTGGTTCTAAAGGAGCTACTTATGAAAACTATTTTTTTTTTCTTCACCAAGCTGAGGATGCCTCCAGCCTCACTTCCCCCGCCCTCTTTGTATTTTTATGTCAGCCTACTCATTGTTATGTCTTTTGCAGTGTTGTGGTTGTACTGCAACTATTGTTGTAGAAATTCCTGTTATATTTAGTCGATTGCTGCTCTGACATCTGTTAGTTTTTAACCTTCAGTGTTGAAACTGTCGATTTCTAATATGTTAATGACAATGGCAGCATTCTTAAAATAATTAGGGAAAAATAAATAAAAGATACTTTAAAAAAAAAAAAAAAAACCCAGTTCTATGGAGATGTAAAAAGAGGTATTGAACAACACTGTGACGACAAGGCAAATGCAGAAAGAGATCTTGTGGAATGGGTAGGGAGCGAAAGTGACCAGAAAAGAGACAGAAAGAGAACGAACGAACAAACTTTATTTTCAAAGGGTTAGGAATTGGGCATGCAGGCCCGTCTAACATTCTGCCCTTCCACTCCGCTCCTTTCATACAATGTTTCATTTTTACCTCATTTCATAGTTAATAATAATAATAATAATTAATAATAATAATAAAAAGAGGAATGCACAATTAAAAATTTGAGAAATATAGAAAAGAAACAAAAGAGCAAAAAAGAGATGAAGAAAAAAAAAATTACAATATCTAAGTCTTAATTACAAATGCTGGAATGTGCTCTAATTTATACTGACATTACTTGAACGTTTGAAAGAGTATAATAATAAGCCTATTCAAAAAATGATGTAAGTCTTACAGGTTGCATAATATAAACATCATCAAAACCAATTAAATATTAGTTACAAATATTGGAATGCATTCGACTGACATCTTCAGTTTTAACAATAAAAAGCTTCAGTTTTCAACCCCCACCAAGTCCCCCTCCCCCTCCCCTATCCCTCCCCCCCCCCCAAAAAAAAACCGTTAATAAGAAATACATCAAAGCCTTAACATGCTATAATTTTTTTAGGGGGGCATATAGTCTGTAGTGAGAGAGACAGATGGAAATGGAGAAAGAAGTGATATATAAAAACGTATAGATACAGACAGATACACACACACAGAGAGAGAGAGAGAGAGAGAGAGAGAGAGAGAGAGAGAGAGAGAGAGGGGGGGGGGGAGAGAGAGATACGGAGAGAATATTGAGTTGGGTTAAGTTGAAAACCGATATCACAGCACTTGGGACAATCCGCTCTGTCCCCATCTTCAGGAGCCAGCAAACAGTTTCCGTTCTAATGGGACTAGTAACAGTTTGATTGTATGTCTGTCTCGCCCCTCTCCTGAGTGTTAAGCGTAGACCAGATCCTTCCTTGGCACTCCCCCAGTGGGCTATTCTATTCAGACTATGATGATCTACTTGTGCTTCTGCACTGTTCACTCGATTCCTGATGGCCTTGTCACACGCGTGAACATCATTATAAAAAGTACTGAGACTTGTGGCGTGTTACAAAAGCTTACGTCGTCTGACCAGGCGAATTATAGTGATGACATTGGGATAAACCCTACATCTCGATGCTAACGGACTCAAGTTTATCCAGTACATTATCGTTAAAAAAGTGTCACATTATATTGTTTGAACTAAGTCCAATACACTTATAAAGTTCAGTGCAATGATTCATAAAAGCATAGGGTAGCGGTTCTCAACCGGTATGGGTTCTCACCCTGTGGGTGACGACCCCTTCAGGGGTCGAACAACCCTTTCACATGGGTCGCCTAAAACCATCAGAAAATACGTATTCGCCGAAGTTATAAAATAGCAACGAAAACAAATTGATGGCTAGGTCATACCACAAAGCGAGGTCACGACATTAGGAAGGCTGATAACCACTGGCTTAAGGAAATGCTTTTCTTGTCTAATTAGAACTGAAGCAAAATAGCAGGTTCATCTAGAACTCTGTACACGTTAAGAGGAGTGTCTGCACTAAAACTGAAAATTCTCACCTCGGTGTACAACTCAACTGTAGTCTGTCCCAGAAGTCGTGACCAACTTTAAAAACATGTAACCCAGTAACTGTTCCGTGTCATTTGTTGAAATCTAACATTTAACCTGTTAATAATGGTGCCCCTGTAAGATTATATAAAATATGACCAAACATTTAGTTTTCATTATACCTATTTGCGGTAAATAAAAAAATATAAACATTTTTAAAAAATAAAAAAAAAAATAAAAACGGGCAACGATTCAACAACAAAAAAGTCATCATGCTTACGTTTAACTGAATAACGGGAACTTTACAAAACATAAAATTGCATGTGTTTTTATGCATTTCATTATCAGGTGGCCATCACCTTCATTAGCCTCCCGTTAGCATTATGCGGAATAGGCTATCAAATTAATCCCCAAAAATGGCTGCACATGTAAACTGATTTGCAAATGGTCTTCATGTGTGTCAGTTACTGTATATTCTATTCTTTTACAGGTGCAAAAATTATTAGTCAAACAAATATCAAAGAAATTTGCTGCTTGGAAAAAAAAAACGAACACCTGTGTAAGTGTCACTTATAAATCATGTGTAAATGCGAAATCTACGGCCAACTGCAACAAATGTGTGTCCTCCGTAATGGAGTTTTCGGGATTTTTCTTTAAATTTGAGGACGCCCTTGGCTTAATCGCTGAGAACGTGCTTCGTAATGCCAGGTGTGGAGTTCGGTCCCAGCTGCAGGCGATTTGGCATCAGACCGTATTTCGTTGATTTTGACAGTATTATCAAGAGTCTACTGATAAGTTTTAAAAAAAATATGCTGGGGTTGGTCCTGCAAAGTTTTGTAAATGATACGCAACTTACTTTATGGGAGCACGAATTTTGAAACGCCTCATGGTAACATTCTGATTTTATGTCTGTCCTGCCATTCCCCCTGAGTGGTGAGCGTCGGCCAGATCCCCTTGTCACTCCGAATTGCGCCATTCTATTCAGATCCTGATAATCTTCATGTGCTTCCACACTGGTCACTGGCACGTATGAGCTGTCTCGTGATGATCTTGTCACATGGAGAAGTAACTTGAACAAGATTGAACTAGATCAATAACTGAGAGCAGTGACCAGATACAAACGCCCATGTCATCTGGCGGGCACATGTTGGTGATGGTGTGCGGATGCATTAAACAGACGAACGAACGAACGAACGAACGAACGAACTTTATTTTCAAAGGGTCACAAATTGGGCACACAGGCCCGTCTTACATTCGGTCCTTCCAGTCAACCATCTTTCGCACAGCAGTTGTATTTTACTAATAAAGCATGTTATGATCATATGATGTTATGCATATTATGAATATTATAAAAGAACACAAAAGCATGAGTTGTAAAGTGCATGCAAAAACCCGCGCGTGCATACATATATATATATATATATATATATATATATATATATATATATATATATATATATATATATATATATATATATATATTTATATATATACATACATGCATACATACATACACACACACATACATACAAACAAACATGCATACACACATACACGGATGCATACATACATACACACAAACATACATACATAGATACATACAGGCATACATACATACATTCATACATACATACGTAATACAGGCATACACACATACAAACATACAGTCATAAATACAGTCATGCATGGAGACATACACATGCACACACGGACACTCCAACAGAGACACACACACACTCAGACAAAAATACAGACACACACACAGACACTTACATATAAACACACACAGGAAAACACACAGCACACATATTTACATTCGTGCTCACACACTGACGAGTGTGAATAGATTTGTGTTTACTATATACCAACATTTCTCAAACTTGTTCTCGCCGCAGGACCCTTGTCGGGCAAAAACGTTTTAATGGCACACCTACCCTTAAAGCTGTTTGAATACTTAGAAAAAGAAAACAAAGTAGTGAAAATTTAATGATCGATTGTCTTTAATGCGATGAATGAAATTGTTTAAATGAATACTTTATTATTTTCTTTATGTTTATGAGACGTTTAGTTAACTGTATCCTCAAATCACTTGAAGGTTGCTCCTGTATCGGTTTTTGTATGCAAGCGTACGTTGAGAACCCACTGTTACCTTGCTAATATCATTGTTTTCTGAATACATCTACATTCAGAACTCTTTTGTTGTTGTTGTTGTTGTTGTTGTTGCTTCCTTCGTGGTATTTCTGTTTTAAACTGCTGTCTTCGCTGATCTCAAGCAGATTTGAAAAAAATCTCGACTATTGCTGCGACACCCAGCTTGAGAACCCCTGTAATACATAATCATTAAGAAAGTGTCACAGTACAATAACTCGAATCACGTCCAGTACACTTGTAAAGTTTGGTACAGTGATTCAAATTAGACCAGGGAATGTACTTCTCCTCTTATCACAATTGAAGCAAAACAGTCAGTTCAGTAAGAACTGTCCACACGTTATCGTAGTTTCTGCACTAAAATTATAAATTATCACCTCAGTGAATGAACGACTCAACTAATGCACTGCTTGCACTGCCTATGTGTATTAAGCTCTCGACTGGTAAACAAACACTTTCCTGATGTTCTATTACCAGGAACCACAGAAACATAGGTTGTATCTGAGATTACATTGATTGATTTAAATTAGTATGAGCTGTCTCGTTTCTTAGCGAAACGATGACATTTACTTGAAGTAATTTCCGTTACAATGTAGGAAGCAAATTTTTCGTTATTTTTAAAGCTCCCACCCCGGCAGTAGTCAGAGGCCCTTTATATAACGTAACGGTTGAACAGAGGTTTTTGGGACTAGAGCCCTGGTGATCCTTATCCGAATGGTGCACTTTGTTTGACCATGTGTTGGTCGCTCGTTGCCCGGTCATGGTGGGGTTGAAGACACATAACATTTGAATTTGTCCTTACCCGCATTGTACTGCTTCATGTTTCTTTAACGGATGAACATCATGACACAACAGTGTAACCCATAAGTGCTCCTTTCTACTTCTAACCCAAGCCTGAGTCTAAAGAATCTGAGAGTAGTGCACGAACTCCGTTGCACCGGCAAGGATCCTGAAACACTTTGAGTGGATTTTAACTCCGATAGGCTAATCTTTTACAATTTACAACTGCTAAGGGATTTTTTTACGTGCGCACAATACACACCGGCGCCCGACCCTACTACCCAGAGATCAGGGGAAATTACTATAAGTCCAGGTGAAATAATCCAAGCCTTAACTAGGGTTTGAACCCGGGACCTTCAGCATTCTTGACGGAGGTCATACCTCGAGACCACTTAGCTCCCCGCCTTGTACTGCTGTAGGTTACATAACCCATGCCGACCCCCCCCCCCCCCCCCCCCCCCCCCCCGGATCGTTGAGGTATATTGATAGACCTTTAGCTCATAAAACCCATCATCTGTCTCTTTCTTCGGCTTGTTAAACAATTGTATGATCAAGTAATCCTGTCCATTTTTGATGTTGTCATTCCAGTTCTGCTTTGCCCTTCTCTTCTTTGACTAAAATAATGTTCCTCCAAGTAATCTTTGCAATCTAATCACGTCTCACCACGCACCCTAGGTAAACTAGCTTGCCACGTTAAGTAGTGTATTGAATGTCTCTATGTCTTCTCCTTTCATATAGCTTGCCACGTTAAGTAGTATATTGAATGTCTCTATGTCTTCTCCTTTCACATAGCTTGCTGCGTTAAGTAGTATATTGAATGTCTCTATGTCTTCTCCTTTCACATAGCTTGCTGCGTTAAGTAGTATATTGGATGTCTCTGTGTCTTCTCCTTTCACACAGCTTGCAGCAAATCAGCTGAGGTAATATCTTACATGGCCAACGACTGGAACGTCCCAGTTATCACGCCCGTTGCCAGCACGGAAATCATAGGGGACAAGAACGTCTTCCCCCGGCTGACAAGAATCAGCTCCGCCATGCAGTTGCCCATCATCAATACCGTCTTCAGTCTGATGACCATCAATCATTGGTATCGTGTAGGTAAGCTGGTGATTCCTAAGTAGCTCTTTTACTTCAGTGTTTGTATTTCTGTCTGTCCTGTCTTATTTGGTTGTCTATCTGTCTCTGTCCAGTCAATATTGCGTGTATTTAAAATATGTACGTCTGTCTGTCTGATTGACTGTATGTGTGTCTGTCTGTCGGTATATCTGTCTGTCTGTATTTGGATTTATATTTGTCTATCCTTCTGTCTAGCCACCAGTTGATCTATATAATTGCAGGTATCATATGTTCTTACATACAATTAAACCAGGCTACCTACTTAGGCGTGCATACCTACTTATGAACCTACCTGCTTCCATGCCTCCTTACTTGCAAGCCTACCTACTTACAATCCTACCTACTTACATGCCTAACTTCTTTCAAGCCTACTTACTTACATGCCTACCTACATGCAAGCCTACCAACTCACATACTTACCTACTTACTAGCCGATCTACTTACAAGCATAATTGCTGATATGTCTACCTGTTTAGATACCTACCTATTTGCATACCTACTTGACTACTTATTTTTCCAACTCCTTTCCTATTTGCAAGCCTACCAGACTATGTTTACTTATTATGTCAATCGCCAAGCTAAATTTCGTAATTTGTCTATATGCATGCTATTTATCCCCGTCTCTCCCTCCCTCCCCCCCCTCTCTCTCTCTCTCTCTCTCTCTCTCTCTCTCTTTCTCTCTCTATATCTATCTATCTATCTCTGTAACTCTCTCTAGCAAACTATTATCTGGCCTTTCTGTATAAATACGCGCGTTTATGTGTGTGGCTAGTTGCTAATTTGAATAAGCCAATAGTTATTGAACAGGCTGTGCAGGAAATCCCTCACATCCCCGATCGTTAGGCACTGGTTTGCATATCTTTTATCGCCGTTAGATAACACCCATAGCGTGACAGTGCACATTTAAATGACCATTAAGTTGTGATGTTATCTTCACTCAAAGGCAGGGTCGCATGTTGCTAACGTTATGTTATTTGTATTTTCAGCACTTTTCTACAACAGTAACTCGAGTACTTCCAGGATCCTTAGTGAAAGTTTCGTAACAAAGTTTGGGTAAATCTGTGTTTCTACAAACACAGTTTTGTCTTCTTTTTCTTCTTCCTCTTCTTTTTTTTTTCTTCTTTTTCATTTTCTTCTTTTTCTTCTTCTTCTTTTTCTTTTGCTTCTTCTTGTTTTTCTTCTTCTTCTTTTTCTACTTCTTCTTTTTCTTTTTCTCCGTCCTCTTCTTCTACTGCTTCTTCTTCTTCTTCCTCTTCTTCGTTTTCTTCTCCTCTGCCTTCTTCTTCTTCTTCTTCTTCTTCTTCTTCTTCTTCTTCTTCTTCTTCTTCTTCTTCTTCTTCTTCTTTCTTCTTCTTCTTCTTCTTCTTCTTCTTCTTCTTCTTCTTCTTCTTCTTCTTCTTTCTTTTCTTCTTCTTCTTCTTCTTCTTCTTCTTCTTCTTCTTCTTCTTCTTCTTCTTCTTCTTCTTCTTCTTCTTCTTCTTCTTCTTCTTCTTCTTCTTCTTCTTCTTCTTCTTCTTCTTCTCTTCTTCTTCTTCTTCTTCTTCTTCTTCTTCTTCTTCTTCTTCTTCTTCTTCTTCTTCTTCTTCTTCTTCTTCTTCTTCTTCTTCTTCTTCTTCTTCTTCTTCTTCTTCTTCTTCTTCTTCTTCTTCTTCTTCTTCTTCTTCTTCTTCTTCTTCTTCTTCTTCTTCTTCTTCTTCTTCTTCTTCTTCTTCTTCTTCTTCTTCTTCTTCTTCTTCTTCTTCTTCTTCTTCTTCTTCTTCTCTTCTTCTTCTTCTTCTTCTTCTTCTTCTTCTTCTTCTTCTTCTTCTTCTTCTTCTTCTTCTCTTCTTCTTCTTCTTTCTTCTTCTTATCTTCTTCTTCTTTTCTTCTTCTTCTTCTTCTTCTTCTTCTTCTTCTTCTTCTTCTTCTTCTTCTTCTTCTTCTTCTTCTTCTTCTTCTCTTCTTCTTCTTCTTTCTTCTTCTTCTTCTTCTTCTTCTTCTTCTTCTTCTTCTTCTTCTTCTTCTTCTTCTTCTTCTTCTTCTTCTTCTTCTTCTTCTTCTTCTTAGTTCTTATTCTTCTTCTTCTTCTTCTTCTTCTTCTTCTTCTTCTTCTTCTTATTCTTCTTCTTCTTCTTTATTTCTTCTTCTTCTTCTTCTTCTTCTTCTTCTTCTTCTTCTTCTTCTTCTTCTTCTTCTTCTTCTTCTTCTTCTTCTTCTTCTTTCTTCTTCTTCTTCTTCTTCTTCTTCTTCTTCTTCTTCTCTTCTTCTTCTTCTTCTTCTTCTTCTTCTTCTTCTTCTTCTTCTTCTTCTTCTTCTTCTTCTTCTTCTTCTTCTTCTTCTTCTTCTTCTTCTTCTTCTTCTTCTTCTTCTTCTTCTTCTTCTTCTTCTTCTTCTTCTTCTTCTTCTTCTTCTTATTCTTCTTCTTCTTCTTCTTCTTCTTCTTCTTCTTCTTCTTCTTCTTCTTCTTCTTCTTCTTCTCTTCTTCTTCTTCTTCTTCTTCTTCTTCTTCTTCTTCTTCTTCTTCTTCTTCTTCTTCTTCTTCTTATTCTTCTTCTTCTTCTTCTTCTTCTTCTTCTTCTTCTTCTTCTTCTTCTTATTCTTCTTCTTCTTCTTCTTCTTCTTCTTCTTCTTCTTCTTCTTCTTCTTCTTCTTCTTATTCTCTTCTTCTTCTTCTTCTTCTTCTTCTTCTTCTTACTTCTTCTTCTTCTTCTTCTTCTTCTTCTTCTTCTTCTTCTTTCTTCTTCTTCTTCTTCTTCTTCTTCTTCTTCTTCTTCGCTCTTCTTTTCTTCTTCTTCTTCTTCTTCTTCTTCTTCTTCTTCTTCTTCTTCTTCTTCTTCTTCTTCTTCTTCTTATTCTTCTTCTTCTTCTTCTTCTTCTTCTTCTTCTTCTTCTTTCTTCTTCTTCTTCTTCTTCTTCTTCTTCTTCTTCTTCTTCTCTTCTTCTTCTTCTTCTTCTTCTTCTTCTTCTTCTTCTTCTTCTTTCTTCTTCTTCTTCTTCTTCTTCTTCTTCTTCTTATTCTTCTTCTTCTTCTTCTTCTTCTTCTCTTCTTCTTCTTTCTTCTTCTTCTTCTTCTTCTTCTTCTTCTTCTTCTTCTTCTTCTTCTTCTTCTCTTCTTCTTCTTCTTCTTCTTCTTCTTCTTCTTTTCTTCTTCTTCTTCTTCTTCTTCTTCTTCTTCTTCTTCTTCTTCTTCTTCCTTCTTCTTCTTCTTCTTCTTCTTCTTCTTCTTCTTCTTCTTCTTCTTCTTCTTCTTCTTCTTCTTCTTCTTCTTCTTCTTCTTCTTCTTCTTCTTCTTCTTCTTCTTCTTCTTCTTCTTCTTCTTCTTCTTCTTCTTCTTCTTCTTCTTCTTCTTCTTCTTCTTCTTCTTCTTCTTCTTCTTCTTCTTCTTCTTCTTCTCCTTTTTCTTTTACCTTTGCTATTAAAATGACGATTCCACGTGGTGTTGTAGTCGATAGTATAATTGCGATATCAGTATATTTTGACCAAAAATATTCCATTTCATTAAACTCTTACTCTACTTCTACGACACGCTTTATATTCGTCATTATGTCTATTCCCTTTCCTCCGTGGAGCCAAGAACCCACCGGGTGATATAAATCTTTGTAAGTAAACGACTTTTGACTTAAGTTGGCGTCACCTTAAGGGCCCTTTTTCACGCTTACAGGCGTATTAGGCATATGGGAGCTAGACCTATATTTTATAGGCTAATCGGCAATCGGTGAGTGATGTGGTCAGTAGTAATCTGGCCACATTTACTTATCACTTGTTTACCTGGTACCCATTTAAGGCTGGGTCGGCCTGAAAACCAAGTCTGACCCAATCAGGACCGAAACCCCTGATCGCTAGATCCGCAGACGAACGTCGAGCCAGGCATATAGTGATAGACCTAAATTTGGATAGACCAGTCCACGCTCGATGGATCCTGTGGTCAATATTTTGACGGCCTCCTTTGCTTCCTAGGACATTGCCTCTGACCTCTTAAAGACTTTAAGAGATAATTTCAAATTTTAAAGAAACATGCCCCGATTTGAACCCAGAATCTTCAGTTCGATAGGGGGCGTTTGACACTTATGCTACTATCTCTCCCGACATTATGAGTATCATTGAATGTGAAATTGATAAATAGCAAAATTAGCATGCGGATTTGTGGTTTAGAATAGAGGTTAAGTGAATAAAAAAAAAAGTAAAGGACCCTTTCCACGCCTTTAGGCGTATAGGGCATATAGGGCTAGACCTATTTTTTTTTATAGACCAACGGCACAAGATGGGTGATGTGGTCAGCATCACGCCGGCCGCCTCTACTTTCCAGGATTGCACCCGGTGCCCACTCAAGGCTGGGTCGACCTGGGAGCCAAGGTCATTTTTGAAGAAAAAGTCCGTCTCCGCCAGGGAGCGAACCCACGACCTTCCGATCCGCGGCGCGCGTCTAGCCGCTCTGCCACGGCGACTCCCGGTTAAGTGAATGCTTAGCATAATTCCACGACGTACCAAGGTCTCATTTTTGTTGTTGCTGTTGAGAGGGTGGTTGGGAAAATAAAAGACGACGAACAAGCTGATGAGAAGGTATGTGATGAAAAGGATATATTGTGGCGTAGAAGGAAACGAAGAAATATGAACAGGAGGAGTTGTGATCACGGAGGTGAGGCCGTCAAAACTTCCTGTATTTACCACATTTCCAATTCAAGCTGGTTGTTTCTGAGCCTGAACATTCAGGGCTGTATGTTTAGTGAAGTGCGCCACAGACTGCAGGTTTGGCGTATGTTTAGCTCCTGATAGAAAAAAAGGGAGGGGGGAGGGGAGAGAAGATTTTACTGAGGATTCGAACCTTGGTTCCCCCACAACAGCTTAGCTTTCTTAACCGCTAAGCAAACCGGATGTGATACACCAGAATAGAAAGGAAATAGACATTGAGAGAATGGACATCAGAAGGAAATGGCGAAATCTCAAATAATAAACAAAAAAGGAAGAGGAAATTTAACGAAAAAGGAAGACGAGATGCAAACATGCAATAATAATTTAAGCAAA